TCATACCATGTCCTAATCACCTTTTCAGAAATGAAAAACCAGGATCAGCACAGATGACGAAAAACTGATGAAAATGCCAAAACAGACATTGTGATCCCTGCAGACAGGAAGGCAGGCTGTATCATTCCCACTGCTTGGGTTTTACACCTCACTACTGATGAGCATGTACCATGACCAGCATTAGGATGTAACTAACAGTCACAGATTTCAACCATCCAGTACCTTTTAGCTCAGCTATCTGAACACACATGTAGAGAGTTATTTTAATTATTCAGATAGGATTAGAATGATGCTTTGCTGTACAGCTGATCAGTCATCTTTCATATGAAGCAGTTAACAGCTGAAGTGAAAAAAGCTCTCCAGTAACCATCCTTTGTAGAAGTTAGGACCTCAAACTAAAGATTTCACATATAGAGTGGAAAAAGAGGATGCATTTGCAGCACTTACCTGTAATTAACCTCATTAAAAGAATTTTCTTGGTTTAAAATGTTATAATAGAAACAAACCAGCTACCTTTCTGTTAAGTCTTTCTTGTATTTTACTTGTATGTCTAACTTTAGTGCTGCTACCTAGGAAAAAATTGATTAACCATACTTAGTGAGTTGAAAATGATTGAAATAATACTCTCTGTGTTACTTACAGCTCTCTCTTCCACTGAAATCTGAAACAAAAATAATTTTCTGCACTTAGAGTGCTGTTATCAGGACTGGGTTTTTTAACTATTTATTTTTCAAAATTTATTTTATAACTTCAGAATATTTTATTTCAGCCTGCTACTTTTATGAACCTTTCAATGTGGCTTAATCTTCTTCAAAACAGCCAAAGGTACATGGTTGTTAAAACATATCTCCCATTTTCCTCTCTATATTCCAGGGAAAAAAGCATCAGCACCTTCAATATTTCCAGCTGCACTAGTTACTGGAATAAGTTTGCTTCCTTAGCAGAAGGCCTAATAACTCCCACTGGCTCACTCCTAAATTGGGCCCAGTTCTCTTTAATATCTT